ACACCAAAAAGTATAAGGGCAGTGCCACACTGCCAGGGCCCAGGCACCTTACACTGCCATTTGTTTTGGCTCCCAATCATGCTTCCGGTGGGAGCTCACACAACCCCTGCCGACAACTCACACAGAGGGCAGTGACTTTATCGCCCATGTTTGCTTTGCGTAATAAGGAAACGTCTTTGATTTTTGTGTAATATTATTTTATTAATGAATATTTGGTTAAAAAATAGAGAGAGGAAAATATATTATAAGTTTAATGAGGGCCAAACGGGAACTATAATGTAGTGTTACTTTAGGAGCAACAACAAATTATTTGTAGCAGACAAATCTATTATTAATATTCTTCTAAAATATTAATTATAAATTTGTGTTATTTTAGGAACAATAACATGATAGATTATTAACTTAAAATTTATAAAAGATCATCTAAAAATATTTAATCAAGTTAAAGATATAAAGAATATTCAATAATAATCTGTAATGAACGGTCTGAATGTGGTTAATAATGGATTGTGCTATGGGTACATAAGCATTTTCCTTAATAGTATGAGACTATGAGGGTAGAATATTTAATCATTATATTAATGCAGACAACTTCTGCACATTTTTATGCAAACATACAAATGTGTACATGAGCCATTCACATGCCAGATGAAACCATTCATAATGGAACGTGTGCATAGCCAATAGTTAAATATTGGGATGCGTGTACATGCAATAAAATAATTATAAATATAGAGATGCATGTGTCAAACAAATTAATTGCTGGCAAAATTAATTGAGGTAGAATGATAAACTAATCGAGGGCGAAATTCGACAGACATAAAATGATATACTTTAACTGATTTCGACTGAAAAAGTAATCTCCTTGAATTACAAATTTACAATGCATATGTATATGTATATAAACAAAAATTACATGCTACCAAATTGTTTTTGGTATATATGACTACTTTCTAATTAATTCACTTTGATTTTGATAAAATTGTGCTGATAACGTATTATAAAATGGAGAGAAAAAAAATGAAAAAAAATAGATAAATCAATAGAGTTGTGTGTATTATATTGTGAACTAAAATCTCATATTTATATGGATAAATTAATGATACAATGTAATAAAAATTAGAACTGTAGGGGTATATTCGTCATTCGTTAATAATCATGTTATTTACGATATTTTCAATAATGAATTTTTGAAAAATGTATGGTTAAAAAGTATGGAAAAATAGAATTACGTTTAGAATATTTAATTGTGCAAATGTATAATTAAAAATAAATATATAGAAAAAAAAGTTTTAAAAGAAAAGACAGACATGGGCTTAATCACACATTTTTAAGAAGAGTAAAGATAGTCAATACTACGAGTGTCAAGCCCTAGTTTAATGACAATTGCACGACATTAAATGATAGATTAATTTAT